CTCATGTGTCCATTTCATGCGCTTTTGCGATTTATCCCCCAAATTGGTCAGTTGTCGCTGAGAATCAGCTTGGACTGAAACATTTTGGTGGTTAGTCTGATTTTGTTGACTATTCTGCGGTCGCATTACTTCACAGCTTTGCCCGCATTGCACATCACTGCGTGGGATATGAGGCATACTTGGCGAACTGCAGTCAATGCCTACCTGCTGAACGCGGGATTTACTTGAGAGGGTACCTCCCGAACACCCCCCGTTATTTATTCGACTACGTGTAATCATTTTTTATATATTTTGTTTTGGCCATTTTACGGGGACCCAGACCCTAGAAAAAGCTCAACACTAACATGTGTCTATTGCCATCCATTTTTCAACACTGACATGTGTTTGTTGAAATAGGATATTTCAAAATGGCCATCGCGTGTGAGGACGAGTATCTACTCGAGGGGTGAAGGGACATCCTTGCGGACGCCCCTTCGGGGTGGGGGCACCTTTGCAGGCACCCCCGGGGTGGGAGCGCCCTTGCGGGCACCCCCGGGTGGGCACCGATACCGAAGTACCGGTACCCGGGTTCGGGCAGAAACTCGTCCTCACTTTGCGCCCCGCTTTCCCCATACTACTTAGGTTGGCCGTCCTAAGCAGCGTTGGCTAAGCAGGGTTCGGGAGACACAGAAAACACACTGAAAACATACACAAAATCCTTTCCGTACCGGGGCTCGAACTCACACACTACTACACTATAGCCCAACGCCTTAACCATTACACCACTGTGCCTCCCTTTATTATTATTATTATTATTATTTATTTATTTATTTATTTATTTAATTTGTTTAAAAATAGTCATAAACTTAGTTATGTACAATGCATGCTACTTATATTAACCTTTATTAGGTTTTATACTTTACTCGAAATCAATGAAAAATATTTAAATTCATATCCTATATATAAACCTGATTTTGAATAAATATATCAGATATATTAGTAATATAATATTACTATAACTAGTGTACAGTTCAATGATTTTATGTTATTTGGCCTTCAAAGAGTTGTCCATTGAGTCCACTCGTGAGGTCTATGGCGCCGACGATGTGGTCAGAGATCTGCGAAGAATACCCGATGTCTTGAGTTCGGGAACTATTTATATGAATGAAGACTTTGATTACGCGGTTCTCAAAGACTTCTTTACGAGTCCTTCAGCGCAGATGTACTCGAAATGAGTGGAAGTGTTGGATTCGATGGCAGATAATAGCGCTTCTGATGACGACTTCCGGAACCGTTACACGAAGATATGGCGCGACTTATACTCCGTGTCGTGTCTTATGTACGAAAGACAACAGTTTAAGCCACGACTCGGCGGTTGATATCCGGAGCTGACGGACAGACCGACAGATATCTCGCGAAGACATCGCATCGCGTGAAACAACCGCTGAAGAAGTGGAGGCGATCGGGAAAACACGTAGATTACGGACGAGTTCTGACGCGGATTACGTGATTACATTAGCCCGTACATTTATAAAGTTGCTTACGGTTAAGCAAATGACTATATTTTTATAAAAGGCTTAACTAAAAAACCTTCAATACATCATTTGAAATCTTTCAACTCAAATAGTTATTAAAAAGATACTAAAGTTGCTAAAAAAGTTATTTATTGGTAAAATGACAATTATTACATGATTCGTATGCATACTTAATCTCAAGACAATATAATTTGTATGTAAGTCTCGAAAGTTTTTTTTATGTATTTAATATATACAAATTTGTTTTATAAGTTATAATATCATATTGTATATAATTTATAGACAACACAATTGTCATGGATAAATTATTGACAATAATAAGAAAGTTATTTAATTTAAATAGGAACATATTATACATGCATTGAACCAGGTGGTGTATTCATCCAAATGTAATTATGCTCGCAATATGATCTGTATGAATTTATTAAAACAAAATAGTTATTTCACGACAAAAATATAGAATTTTATTGACTAATTATATCAAACAATATACACAAACTGTATGTACAGTATATAGATTATCAATATCATTAATATAAGATATAAGATTATAATATCAAATTATATACTACGCAATTGTACAGAATATTTAATAATCTCAACAATCTGGCTGATTACTTGCTTAGCAATCATCATGTTATCAATATTTGTTTTTCTAAATAAAGTTAATATAGTTATATATACAATAGTGGAGGAAATTGTATACAAAAATTATTACTATTGCCTTCATTTTGGGTAATTATTATGCAAATAAATGTTTATTCATTATTGAATTAATATATTCATGATTATTATTTGTAACAAATAATTTATTTAATAAAATGTCAACTGTAATTAATAATTATAAAATTTGTGATCAAATACCACAACATTTAAAACAAGAAATTAAATATTTTTATGTTTTTGATTTCTATTCCGGACATAACATACTGTTTGTGACATTTGATGATATGGTGTATGGATTGGGATCTAATAAATAGTGAGGGTCAGCTCGGGTTAGGACACAACACACCCATTCATACACCACAACAAGTGCCACAATTATGCCATAAAAATATACATCAGTTTTTCAATGGATATGACTTTGTATTGGCTATGAATACGGTTAATAATGTGATATTCAGTTTCGGTCTCAATGATGAGGGACAATTGGGGCGGCATGTAGATATGGATGAGAATGTATACCATAAACCGGATACCATATTATATTTCCAATCAAACAATTTAATTATTTCACAAATAAGTTGTGTTTATCAGCACACAATTGTGTTGACATCCAATGGACAGGTATTCGGGTGGGGGAGTAATTGGGAGGGACAGGTTGGTTGTGGAAATAAAAGTATTCAATTAGATCCAACTCCTATTGAATTTGCAACTGAATATCAAATTAGTAAAATACAGTGCAATAGGTATACATCACTTGCTCTTACATGCGAGGGAAAGGTGCTTATTTGGGGAAAGGTAGGTAATAATATAATAAGAACACCATATCTATTAGAAATTGAAATTAACTTACAAAATGTACTTCCACAAATTTCGTTATGTGCATATTTGTTATCTAGCCATGGTCAATTATATCTATATGATTTTCATGATAGTTGTTTAGAAGTTTTATCACATTTTGTGTTCAATGAAATCAAACAAAAATATTTTTATGAAAGTTATGACTTAGAAATTGTTGGCAAATCTGGTGATAAAATATATGAAATTGTTGGCCGAGATCTGTTTGAAACCAATTATACATCATTTGATGATTACTTTTCAAATAAATTGCAAATCACTTTGAATACCATTTCAATACATATTCAACAAAATACATCAATATGTGGTAAATATTACAATAATGCCATAATTGTGGTTTTAATTTGTTGTGCATTGAATTGATTATTATTATTATGTTTTATTATAGAAACTCACGTTAAATTGAATAATTCAATATCATTTGAAAAGTCATTTGATGTAATAAATAAGCTTGGTGAGGGTGGCTATGGACTGGTATATAAAGTTCGAGATAAATGTAACCATGAATTATATGCAATAAAGAAATGTCTATTAAAAGGTTTTATTTTATTTTATTTGCAAAATTATGATCAATTTTATTATATTTTGATTTTTTAAAGGATTGACAGAAAAAGACAAACAAAATGTTTTGAATGAAACGCAAAGTCTTTTGAAACTTCGGTCAAAGTTTGTGATTCAATACTACTATTCATGGATTGAATGCAATTGTCTTTACTTTCAAATGGAGTTATGTATCGATAATCTCAACAATGTTTTGGAAACTAAGAAATCATTGTTTAATGAATCGATGACTAGTTTTGAGTTTTATTTATCGTATGAAATTTTTCGTAAACTCACAAAATGTGTTCAATATTTGCATGAATCGGATCCACAGATCATTCATAGAGACCTTAAACCGGATAATGTGTTGATTTCTATGGACTATACCATAAAATTATGTGACTTTGGTTTGGCTAAAGAGGTCCAAAATTGTGATCCATTTCTTATGTCTAAAACCAAACATACGGCAGATGTGGGAACTGTTGAATATATGGCACCGGAAGCCCAGACTAATGAATACAACCATTTAATAGATATCTACAGTCTATCTCTAATTGGGTCTCAAATCTTTGGTTTCAATACAAACGATATAATCGACGGAAAGTATGAATTGATTTTTAAATAATTTTTTTTATAAAAAATAAATTAATCACTTTTATTAATATGTAAAATATAATTCTTATAACCCAAAATAATATTTAAATTTTAGGATTAAAAGAAACACAAAATATAACAAAGATATCAATGAATGGATGCATAAAATGAATGCATTATTGGTGTCAATGAGTGTTAATAAGTATCGAAAAAATGGTTCAACAGATTGGAGGCAAAGACCCGAATGTTCGCACATTTTATCACAATTGCAGACATTTATGACAAATAAACCCATTATTGGAGACAAAGAATTCAATTCTGTATTGAANTATCACAATTGCAGACATTTATGACAAATAAACCCATTATTGGAGACAAAGAATTCAATTCTGTATTGAATATTATTATCGACAGAAAAAGTGATATATTGTACTATCTATTTATACAAAGCAAACCGTTTTGTATAATCCATATTAATGATGTAAATATAACTAACGGTTAGATATTTATAGTTTAATATTATTTCAAAGTGCAAACTTTAATATTTACAGTATTTATATCTCCAGATACAACCGACATTAACACTATTAACAAACCAATGCTTGAAATAATCAGAAAACAATTTTCTGGGAAAACATGTGAAATACATGAAGTTAAACATAAAACTTCTCAACAAATGCACTCGTTATATACCATAGATCTAGGATTTAACTGTAAGACTTATTGTAATATCAGTACCAGAAATAAGACTTGATTGTGTCTATTTTCAATACATTTTAAAACATTATATCTTATGTGTATTTTGTTTTCAGTTATCATGTTTTAATTTCTAATGAAAAATCGCACATACCTTTGGTATTTCTTCCACTGATTTACTGTGCTTGTGGTTGATATAAATGTATTGTACATTTTTACTCTGCTTTATTACTATTTAGCATATTATAAAAGTATATTATTTCATTGAATTCATGTTAATCCAGGCAAATACATAAACCACTCTCACTTTAGTTCAATAATTTGTCAGGTACAATATCTGTTAGGATGACCAGGAATCTTTGGGCACGAAGGTGGACATTTGCCATAAATGAGGAGGAAGTTAGGAGGACAGGCTATTTTCAAATCTAAATTGTTTATTTGTCTGTATACACTTAAATAACTTTAAATAGTGATCGTATTTATACAAAATAATAACATTTCAAATAATTGACTTTATAAAACTGCTATTTATTAAGACGAGTATGAACTTTATTTGATAAAACAATTTTTAAACAGTATTTTGCCAAAAATAGTATTGAATATAATAAAATTAGTAGAATTAAACAAATTTATATTCTCAAACCTATAATAAAACACCTAAAATTAACAAAAAGAAATATTTTATGCAATTATCTCAATGTCCCCTCTGACACCGTGGGGTAACAGTGCTTTGAGGGGTCCATAGGAGGACAACCTCCTAATGGAGGACGTTCGGTCACCCTAACCTGTGTATGAAGTACTTTGTATAATTTTTTAAAACTAAAGATGTATTTCCCTGTTAAACAAATGTTTTCCTGTACTGGTTCCAAAATTAAATAAGTAGTGTCTCTGTCGAGAAAGTAATATTATTTATAATGTGCGGATATATTTAGATATTTAGCATAAAATGATAATTTGTTGAACTATTATCCAATTCCTTAGATCGATATTTAAAACTGGTTTAATATATATAGAAATTAATTTTATATGTTAATTCTATCTAGATGTTTGGCGAAAGTCCATAAAAGCATTGTCTAAATATGCGGCTAAAAATGAGTACAACTCATGGATAGAAGATAATCGTATATACATTCAAATGAAATTGTGTTCAGACGATGAGATTAAATTAATTTGCAATGATCTAGATCAACTGGATGAGTGATAAAATGTGTTTAGTATTTACACCAAACATACTGGTTCATAATTGCCATTATAGTTTAATATAAAAATTGTAAACCTATCCTGTAATATAAAATTGCTCATGTTACACACATTTGATATAATTATTGTCATTTAAGAAGAAATTTCTCGTTACGGAAAGCTGGCCATGCTAGTTTAATTTGTTTGTACATAAACATAATTATGCCATTAATAGATATGCATGGTCAAAAAGTTCGATTTCGGACGAGAAGTGGCTACTGTTAAGGTCAATAAGTTGTTTGACATGATCATTTTTCTATGAATTAACGTTATTTTAACAGATGGTATGCACTAAAAGTTTGAACGGCACTCAAACGTATAGTAAGCACTCAATGTGCAGCAAGTTTTTCGGCAAATGAATGCTTATACTGGTAATGTAGTCATATACAGTAATATTCAAAAATGACCATGTCATCCAACATATTGACCCCAACAGTGGCCACTTCTCGCCCGAAATCGCACTTTTTGACCATGCATATTTATTAATGGTATAATTATGTTTATGACCAAACAAATTAAACTAGCATGGCCAGCTTTCCGTAACGAGAAATTCTTTCTAAATGGGGAACATCGTTACCTGTCAGTAAATTGTGCAATTAGAATGTGTATTAAAACAAACTATATGTCCCTATCGACAAATTGAGTTGATCAAAATCGGCCAATATCATGAGCTGGTCCCGTTAATC